GTTCAGGACAAGCATGAAAAACTCACCACTCTTATGCCAATACGGTCGCAATGATGCTTTTAGGTACCGAAATGGAATTACCCCACTTACCACTACTGTGCATGTGTGTCAACGACAGAAAGGCAGATGTGGCAGTGGAAGGTGTCAAAGCAGTTTGGAGAGAAAAACAAAGTAAAGAACAAAAAAAAAGAAAGAAAACGATTAATCGATTATTAAATTAGTCATCGATTATTTTAATAATCGATTAGTTGTTGATTAATCGATTAATCGTAGCAGCCCTATTTTAAATACACATCTGATGGGAAAAATGGGAGATTAACTTCAGTAAAATAAAATCTTATGAAGTTACTGGAAAAGACTTCTAACAAAACAGTTTTTTTTTGTGTGGAGACTTCAATATTGACCTGGGTAATAAAACAGAGAGAAATAATATTGGTACATTTATACATTCAATGTAGTCTAAATCTTTATCCACTGATATTAAAACCTACAAGAATCACAACTCATAGTGCAACAATAATTGATAACATTTTCACAAACATAACAAATAAAGAGATTATGTGCAGTATTTTGATTACTGATGTAAGTGATCACTTACCAGTTTTCACCAGTGGTGTGCCGTCAGAGCCAGCACAGCCTTCTCTGTTGACCTGAACACAATCAGAATCACTACATTTTAGAATATTTTATATGTATTATAATAGTTATTAATATTATTATTAGAATATTATTATTTTTTTAAATATCAGTTCTCTTTGTTTCATAGTTTTTCTCCTGGCTCCGCAGCTTCCAGCAGCTTGTATTTATTTAGAGGTTTTATCCAATCATATTTCGATCATCATCTGTTGCTAGGGTCCACAAATCTGCCTCAGGGCTTCAGAACGAGCACCGGGAGGGCGAAACACACGACAGTGATACTGTTGCTTTGACCAATCAGGTGCTGAGGTGAAGACATCAGGGGTCAGATTTATAAAAGATTGCGTGGAAACCATACTAAAAATGAATGTATGGCCAAAAGACGAAAATCGCGTACGCCAAAAAAAATTTCAGGTTTATAAAACCGTGCGTACGCATGTTTCACCGCATTTTCCCTTTATAGATCACAGCTGTGCCTCATAATTTGCACACAAGGTCCCGCCTCAGGTTCTACCCTCTACACGCCCACACTCAACCATATAAACAGTCAATGCGAAGTACCTCGTGAATGTTAAGGTGTATTTAAACCAGTCAGCTGATCAATGTCAAAACAAGCGATTGGCCGGTTCAGACACGCGCTCCATCGTGAGTCTGGATGATGACAGGTGCTGAAAGCTGCTCACGTGAACAGATTGTAATTGACACAGATTTTACCTCATTTTGCAGGTTTACAGACGTTCAGAGTAATCTAATGATTTATTTCAAAAACTCAGCTTCAAATTAATTTTCTCAGAGGACGATAAAAACAATAAATAAAATAAGTCAGATAAAGTTAAGTTCACCGCTCTTCTCCCCGTCCTCCCACTCTCTGCTCTGTTATCTGCGGCAGGACGGCAGGTCGTGAGGAGGAAAGAAATTAATGAGTTGTGTGAACTTTTATTTAAGATTTAAGTTTTTTTTATTTCAAAGGTCCC